GCAGCTGGAGTACTGCATCCAGTTTTGGGCTCCACAATTCAAAAAGGATGTGGAGAAGCTTGAGAAGGTGCAGAGGAAAGCCACACGCATGATCAGAGGTCAGGAAAACAGACCTTATGATGACAGGCAGAGAGCCATGGGACTCTTCAGCCTGGAAAAGTGCAGGCTCGGGCAATCTGGTGGCCACTACAGGTTTATCAAGGGTGTTCACCAGGATCTGGGGGAATGTCTGTTCACCAAAGCGGTCCAAGGGGTGACAAGGTTCAATGGTCACAAACTCCACTGTGACCAATTCAGGCTGGACATAAGGAAGAACTTCTTTACTGTCTGAGTCCCCAAAGTTTGGAATAGACTACTTCCGGAGGTGGTTCCAAGCACCCACTTTGAATGCCTTCAAAACACATTTGGATGTTTATCTTACTGGGATCCTGTGATCCCTGCTGACTTCCTGCCCCTGGGACGGGGGGCTGGACTTGATGATCCTTCAGGGTCCCTTCCAGCCTGAATGTCTATGAAAGCAAAACTTGTCGTGTGTGTGTTAAGGCAGGGTGGGATGAAAAGGAAGGAAGGGAGCCCCTTCTGAGGGCATGAAGCCTGTCAGGTTTCAAGGAGATAGGTGCAGAGACTTCCGTGAAATTGCACCTCAAGGTTCTGAAAGCAAAACTCGTGTCACGTGTGTGTTAACTGGGTTTCTGGTTGTAGCCATGTTGGTATAAGGACGTAGGCAGACGAGGTTCTTTGGGTCAATCTGATATCATTTATTAGACCAGCTGAATAATTGAAGAAATATATCTTGGCAAGCTTTTGGGTTTAAAAACCCTTTGTCAGGCTGAAGAAGCATCTGCAGTTGGTGTGTGCCCTTCCTGGATGGAATGAGTAGTAAAGAAGCCAGAGGCTGGTATGCAGGCAAGAAAGCCAGTCAGTGAAGATGTAAATTGAGGTGTCAGGGGATGAGAGATGGGCCCAGAGAAGCGGGGGTGGGAAGAGGGATGTAGCAAGTAAAAGTGGAGAGGTATCTGGGGAGTCAGATGTCGGGTAGGTTATAGTGTGTCATAAATCCAATGTATATATTGAGTCCATGAGTTTTTGTATCGAGGAGGATGATAACTGAAGTTCATAGGCTCATCTGTGAAAAGTGTTTTCTAAATTCAAACAAGCACTGAACCTTGGTAACCTCCTCACCAGAATCAAACTTCCTACAACCCAAAACAGACCAATGGATCCAGACCATGCCATGATAAGAAATGCAAAACCTGCCAACATATTTTCAGTACCTCCACAATTACTACACCCCACAACAAAACGATCACCATTCCTGGATCTTACAGCTTTACCTCCAGAAGCATGGTATATCTCATCCAGTGCACCAAATGCCCTGATGGAAAATACATAGGAGAGACCAAACAGCAACTGCACACCAGAATGAATGCACATCTATTAAAGACAAGAACACCCAATTACCAGTGGGGGCACATTTATCACAAGAAAACCACTCTCTCTCTCCAATCTCGATCCTCAAAGGGAATTTACAAAACGCCTTTTGTAGACAAGTCTACAAGCCCCCTTGGGCCCTTGGTGGACAGGACAACTGTTCCTGGGCAACCATGGCCAGATCCTGCCACATCTGGCTGCAGGTTGCCCAGTAGGCCAACAGGTCTTGTTACAGCAGCTTCACATCCTTGGTGAGAGAAGTAGCCAAGGCCTCTGTGCTACCTGCCAGATGGTAGGGTCTGGTGCCTCTGGACCCCAACATTGAAGCCATGCCCTTGGCTCACATTGGCAGCAGCTGTGGTGGAGGAGATTGGCTGGTGCTTGGAGTGCTGGGAGGGGACAGCGGATCCCCCTCTTCCACGTCCCTCCACCTCTGCCCCTCTGCCTCCCTGACCCTGTTCGCCAGCACCTCCTTCCAGTGATCAAGGGTTTTGCTGCTGCAGATGCTCCCCTTCACCCTTGGGTCTCACATGCCCGCCAACACGTGGACCATATTGGACCGCAATAGTTCCAGCTGTTTTTGATGGTCTTCTTCAGCTGTTTTACCAGTGCCTGTGGTGAAAGTGGCTTGCCGCAGCCAGGAACATCGATCCCATGGAACTTCACTATTGATTTTCAAGTCCTTCACCATAGAAATCACTGGGTTAAGGAGGGTATCACCAGTGCTGAGGCTCTCTGTGGCCTCGAGGAATGGCTTGAGGACCACCAAGATCTGGGAGATGGTATCCCACCCTGTTTTGTTAAAGGGGCTGCTGATCCCAATCTTCCTGAGCAAGGCCATCTCATGGATGGCCTTCTGTTGCTCGACCAGCCTTTCAAGCATCAAGTATGCGGAATTCCACTGAGTCTCCACATCCTGCATGATTTTGTGTTGCTGTATGTTAAGCTCTGCCTGTTTCTCCTGTAGCATCTTGCCTCACTTGATGCTTCGGTGAAAGTAGCCCACCACCTTCCTGCATTTCAAAATTAGCTCGCTGGTCATGGTAGTGATGGCGCTACCACTGCGAGCCCTGTTCGCCTCGAAGGTGTCCCTGACTATGAGGTGGAACTTGTGCCAGCCAGTGGATGCCAACAAAGTTGGCATCACAGACTGCGTTGACCATATTGGCCCTGTTGTCAGTGACCATGAACCCGCAGATGAGTTCGTCCTGCTCAGTGAGCCACCCCTGCACCACGCGGTTCATGGCCACCATGATCTCCCTTGCCATGTGGGACTCATCCATCGCCTCTGCTTGAAGGAGAGCCCACCGACGCCCTGACTGATCACACCAGTGCCCTGTGAGGGAGAGGTAGGCATGATCTCCACTCCAGCTGCTCCAAATGTCTGAGGTGAAGTGTAAAACTACCTGTGGCCCTGCCTTCCACAGCTGTCCCTCAAGTACTTCCTGCATGCCTCATACAGGGAGGGCACCACTGTCCTGCTAATGGTGGCGCGTGCGGACACTTGGTAGGGTGGGGCCATGAGTGCCATGAGCCCCCTGAATCCTGGATGCTTAACAAAGGAGAAAGGCTGGGCACCCACAGCAAGCATTTTCCCCAGTGCTCTCAGTGACCTTGCTCACCCTTGCAACGTGCCCCCTTTTGTCTGCAGCTTTTCCCCACCACTCCAGGGTGGCCCGCCTCTTCTTGGTGGGGATGGGGGCTTTGAAGTGAGAGGGGAACTTCTTTTTGGGCATGCTCTCCCTGGTGCCAGGCTGAAGAGGAACAAGGGCAAGGGGGTACTGCCTCCTGAGATGCAGCAGCAT